CACTCTGTCTCTGGTGAAGTCTTTCGCCGCCCCTGAGTCTCTGGCCTGTACCCCACTTCTGTATGCACAAATAAATAAATCTTAAAAAAAAAAAAAAACACAATTAAAAAAAATATATCTGATAAGAATTTACATTGATTCTCCTTTAGTTATTTTGTAGAATTTGCCAGTAAAGGGTCCTTCCTGATGGTACAGGGGTTAAAATCTCAGCACTATTAAGCTATCTCCAGCATGAGTTTGGCATGAGTGGCATGAGTTTGATCCATAGCCACTGAGCTGACCCACATGGCATAGCAGACCTCTCCTGTCTTATACCCACTGCTCCCCTCAGCAGTGTATTTCAATCAATCTGCCTGTTCTGCTCCCCAATGTCTCTGGTGAATCCTCTCAAACTCTCACACTTCTGTCTATACCTCAGTTCTTATATGCATAAATGAATAAAAATAATAAAAAATTTTAAATTTGCCAGTGAAGTCATCTAATCCTGGACTTTTCTTCTGCAGCAGATTTTCCAATCCTGATTCAATCTTTTTCTGTACTAGATATAGGTTTGTTCAGATATTATTTCTCCATGACTTTAGTCTTGGTAGGTTGTTATGTTGCTGGGAAATCATCCAGTTGTTCTAGATTAGCCAGTTTGTTGGTATATATTGATTTATAATAACCTCTGATACTTCATAAGAATATTTCCGGCCCTCCCTGGTGGCGCAGCGGGTTAAAGCACAGCACTGAGAATCTAAAGCCACTTCCGCATGAGTTCGATTCCCGCCTGCCCTGGAGATGACCACATGGCGTGGCAGACCTCTCCTGACCCGCCCGCTGCTCCCCTCAGCAGTGTACTTCGTCAATCTGCCTGTTCTGTTCCCCACTCTGTCTCTGGTGAAGCCTCTCGCCTCCCCTGAGCTTCTGGCCTGTACCCCAGTTCTGTATGTACAAATAAATAAATCTTTAAAAAAAAAAAAGAATATTTCCATATAAGAGTAATCTTTTATTTCTGGGGCATCAGTTGTAATCTCTTCTTTTTCATTTCTTATTTAAGTCTCTTTTTTCTCAGTCATAGTAGCTAAGGATTTGTCAGTTCTTTTTTTCCTTTCAAAAACCAACTCTTAGGTCCATTGTTTTTTTTTCTATTGTTTATCTATTTTGTTTCATTTAATTCTGCTCCAGTTTGTGTTTTTTTCCTTCTGATAACTTTGAATTTGGTTTCTTCTCCCTCTCTCCCTTCCTCTTCTGATTTATAGCTCAAGTCATTGAGCTATAAACTTAAGCTGTTCGAGAACTTGCTTCATTTTTGAATGGACAGTGATGGCAATAAACTCCTCTTAGAGTGGATTTTGTTGCATCCCATACGTTTTGATGTGTTGCATTTCATTTGTCTTGAAGTATTTTTTAATTTCCCTTTTAACTACCAATTTGACCAAATACTTTTAAGAGTGTTCTATTTAATTTCTACATACTTGTGGTGTGTCCAGTTTTCCTTCTAGTAGTTTCACTCCTGCAAAGTCTGAATAAATACTGGCACTATTTCAATCATCTTAAATTTTTCAAGACAAACCTTTAATTTGATTTGTAGGCTAATGTGATCCATCCTAAAGAACATTCTATGTGTACCTGAGAAGAATGTATTTTCTGCTGCTGTTGGATGGAATGTCAGTTACATTTTGTACATGTCAGTTACATTTTGTCTAAAGTATGGGTTCAAGTCCAACTTTTCCTTTTTGATTTTTTGTATGGATGTTTTACCCATTGTTGAAAGTATTGGTATCCTACTATTATTACACAGCTGTCTACTTTTCCATTACAATCCATTTTTTTGTGTCAGTATTTTCTCATTGCTCCTTGTATCTTTGAATGTCCTCATATCCTTGAATCTCAAGGGATTAACACTCTCTAATCCTTTAATGAGTATATGCACTGTGATATTCCTCAGATTGTTGAACATCTTCTAACTTTGATTCCTCATATGCAAAATGAAAAGAATAGTGCAATACAGACCAATAAAATGCAACTGAAAACCAGAAGTAAAGCCACATATACACAGTCAACTAATCTATGATAAAGAAGCAAAGAACATGCAATTGAACAAGGAAAGTATCTTCAATAAGTGGTGCTTTGAAAAATGAACTACCACATGCAGGAGAATGAAACTAGACTACTATCTCACACTGTGCACAAAAATCAACTCAAAATGGATAAAAGACTTGGGTGTAAGACCTAAAACCATAAAATATATATAAGAAAACACAGGCAAAACACCCCATCACATAAACATAAAAAACATCATTCAGGATTCATCTCTAGAGGCAAAATAAACAAAGGAGACTATAAACAGATGGGACTACACCAAACTAAAAAGCTTCTCTACAACAAAAATGACAAAAACCAAAACAAAGACACACCTTACTGAACCAGGACAAAATATATGCATACCATACAACAGATAAGAGACTGATATCAAAGATCTACAAGAAGCTTACACAACTCAACAAAAACAAAATTAACAACCCAATCAAAAAATGGGCAGAAGAGCTAAAAAGACATCTCTCCTTAATGGCCAACAAGCATATAAAATGCTCAACATCATTTATGATCAGGGAAATGTCAATCAAAACCATAATGAGATACCACCTCACAACTGTGAGAATGGCCCATATTAAACAAACAAAACCAGAAACAAGTACTGATGAGGATGTGAAGAAAAAGCAACATTTTTACACTATTGGTGGAAATGCAGACTGGTCCAGCCACTGTAGAAAGCTGGTGTGGAGATTCCTCAAAACACTAAAAACAGATCTACCATTAAGACCCAATGATTCCACTCTTACGAATCTGACCAAAGGACACAAAAGTAACTATCAGGTGGTTTCACTTACAAATAGAGAAATGTAAGGGCTAAGAAAATGACAAAATTTTCTACAAAACTAACTACAAACTACAAAACTAACTACAGATCTGAGGCATACAGCAGGGGATGAGGGAAGAGAGGAGTTAAAACAGGAGAGAAAATAAACAAGGGACTGTAGTAATGGATCACAGATACTATGGTAGTGGCAGAACTATGGGGACTACACCTAAGGGGAGAAATCAAATACGATCAAAAAAATTAACAAAGGTAAAATGGAAAAAAAAAAAAAAGGTAAAGAAAAGAATAGCATGCTAAAGGGGAAAATGCATTGCTTTTAAAACTGCTTGGTCATTATTATACTTTTCTATCATTGTTAGCTGGTTAAATATTAGATTCAACTTATAACCAATTATATATTCAGTTATTTCACTCCTAGTCAAGCATATGACTGCTATTATAATGTTACTTTTTATTTAATTTTATTATTTTTTAAAGATTTATTTATGCATACAGAACTGGAGTACAGGTCAGAGGTGCAAGGGCAGTGAAAGGCTTTAGAGACTGTGTAGGAAGCAGAACAGGCAGATGGACGAAGTACACTGCTGAGGGGAGCAGCGGGAGAGACAGGAGAGGTCTGCTGCATCATGTGGGTTACCTCTGGGGCAGGGATGGAACGCTCACGGATGCAGCTGCAGCCAGCTTGCAGTGCTGTGTC